TAATAGGACAGCAACGCTACCCGGATGTCGGCTGCTGTCAAGTGCCAAGAGTCTCTTGTCTCGCATTGATCGGTGACGTGTCCGTTTGTCGAGTCGACCAATAAATGGCCAACACCCCACTGCCCGGAAGGGGGGATGGCGACAGGCAGTATCCTTATTGTTACATGGCTGAATTGATTGTATCCTTGTTGGCATATTGTCAGCTTTAATATGGATGAAAGACTGTAAACAAGTGAAATTAGCGTCCGAATATTTTCGGGAAAAAATTATCGGCAATCAAAATCCATTTATGATTTGGTGTTCTTCCCTTGCACGGCAATCAATAAGCCTCGTCTCCCAAAGAAGCAGGCATTTCAGCAAACGCTTAAAATAAATCAAAGAATGATGCTTACACACGTGACTCTCCAAGCTTACGTAAAAAAATATGCTTTCATCAGGTTTGTAGCCTGTCAAACATCGACTCTCCCAAGTCGAGCTATCGCGATCCCATCTAGTACAAATTGTTGACATTTCGTCTCCCTCCATGTTAAGCAGGATTTAGTTATGCGGACTTATCATCAAATCAAGCCGACAGAGTCCCTCAGGGGATCCAGCCGATGGTAAATCCCCAGCTGACCCCGATGCTCCTCTGACGGTTATTTCTCCGACGACAGAGCTGATGGACATTATCCTCTCAGCTGTCACATGCCTACTACTCAGTACTCCCGTCACCAGATCACTGAGCATTGATTCGGTGGTGTCGGAGTCAAGCTAGCGATTCGGATACCAATTCCTACAGCACCGTGACAGTCATTGTATTATTACCAACCCCCCCCCCCCCCACCTTACCCCACCCCTCTGTTCCGACCTGTGAGTCCGGGTCACGAGGTCGACGTACCGTTGCGTTTCCGCTATCCTGACAATTGACATGCCGTCGTTCTGTTTCAGGGCGCGGGCTTCGATGATAGCATTGGACTACCCAGGGACTTTGGGTGAGTCAATGGGTGGTCACATCTCTGAACGACGAAATCATGGCATCGTAAAGCTTCATGATGAACACGCATATGTGTTACATTGTATCAATTCAGTTAAATTATAAGAGCACTTCGCATCATTCGTTTTAGCTCGTTTTCACGCTGCGCAGATGCACGAGCCCACATTTATAAATAGTAAAGCTACGACACGATCCGCTAACAGCACGCTCTACGATTGCTGACGCCTTTCGTTTCTTTGACTTCCATCGCGTAATTCACCGGTGAAATTGCAGCGGATGTTGTTCATGTTGCCACCACCGGCCAGTGCCCTGCACGTGCCAGGTGCACAATTATAGTGTCACTCAGATGTTCACAGAGTGTGAAAACCAGCCATTATCTCGCTAGCTTGTAGTGGTTTCTAGCCCGGTGTAGTGCACGAAGTTATCAAAAATCCGAGGTGTAATATCTTGGCGAATCTGAAGTGCGGTGCTCGCAACTACTCTGCAGTCTGCAATATGATATTTCATCATATTCTGCATATTTCTATTATGCAGCCTATGTAGTATGTTGTAGACTCATGTTGCCTGTAATCCAGTGCAGTCCACGATAACCATGATGCACGTGGAGGCATTCACAGACATTTGCAAGATAATATGCCAATAAGAAAGCAACAACAGCCATCCACCTCTGAGGTGGTTATCCTCAACATGCTGCTATTGACTGCCGTTTATGTTTGCTTTCAGGGCTCGGGGAGGCAATATGACGGTGCCCGAATACGACCATCAAGACCAGCAGATCCTGGCGAGCATCGAACGAGACTTTGACAAGCTGATCCCGCTATAGTCGATCGGGTCGAGCGCCGATCTCATCCTTTCATATATAGTATGCTCATGAGAAAGCACAGGGAAAGTACGAAATGCAGGAGATAGCTCGTCACCCCAGCATCTGTCGGGGTGCTTCAGACCCAATCGAGCACTGGGGCTCCTAAGTTGGGCTCAGAGAGATATTCGCGGTAAGACGGGCCAGATCGGAATCCTGGAGCTCAGTGCAACACTGCTGAAAGAGACGTCAAACCCGACAAGATCGAATGTCGGCAATTCCCATGACGAGGGTGATTACAGCTATTAGCTGGGCGACGGCAGCTGGCGCGTTCAACTTTCAACGGGCTCAGAGGTCGGCGTATGAGGGACGGATGAAGGTAGCTATCTCAGAATAATAGGCAGTTCGTATGTCGAGTTTCGTGAGGTCGACCCGTGCATCTCACACCGAAAGCCGAACCCAGTCTCGAGCAGACAGCCCAACCTGTATGTCGAGCTGACAGTTTGGTCCGTGATTTGCGCAGGCAGTTTGTCGAGTGGGAACTATGTCCGCAGAGACAGGAGCGATTTTGCTGGTCAACTCACTGAGTCAGTCGGTCTCCAAATGCCGTCCAAATGTGATTTAGATCCGTCCGTGGCAGCCGGGAGCTTCGTATGTGATCGGTGGTTTGCTGTTACCGGAGGAAATGGTGTTACATATTAGAGTGAATACAACTGTATATAAACATGCCGTCGTCAATGACTTCCGCAAAACTATTGTAAACATATATGATGCGTCGATATTCCATCCACAGAAAGAAGCAGCCCAGTCGACTGTGGGCAGCCGGGGAACAGTCTTTTTTCCCCTGTATGGGAGGAAAGTTAAGAAGCTCAGAGACGTGACGCGGCCGAAGATAAAAAAGTTTGAACTAGGGAAGCGATGGTCGATGGTGAAAGACCAAACCGTTTGATTCTATTTTGAATGTACTCATGATGTTGCTGTATCTTTGCAATGGATACTTTTGGGTAGAAAAGGTACTCGGATACCTTATTGACAAAACTTGTTAGCTGCCTTTGGCCAGTAACAACTAAACGGTACCTATGGCGGTGCCACGCCAATTCGACGCATCGGTGCAGTTGGGCCGCGTCCTTACAAACAACCACCAGCCGACGATTCTTTTACAATTCAGCAGCAATGAAAGCAAAACTTCGCCTCCTAACGGTGCAATATTTAGAGCGGCAGTGGTCCAACTACACGATCGATTAGGAATTCCCTGTTAGTCGGCGCGACTGCGTCATTCAGTTGGAATTTAGGGCATTTATTTCAGCGAAACTCCCGCATTCCAGGCAACAACAGCCTATTCTGTGAATTGGATCGTTGTCATTGAGCCATCAGCATGCTAGAATTAGAAGTCGAGTGCCAGCGTGCCAGCAAAATATGTGTGTTTACGTGCACGGCATGGCACGTGTGCCCTACTGTGCACGTGCTTGCAACGTGCGTTGACAAGCATATGCGTTTCTGCACTCAAGTTAGTCTGTAGCGATGTTAATAGCTCAAATGTTGACTGGTGTCAAATAGTAAGTAATTCAATAATGCAATCATCTTTCCTTAGCACGCATACAGCCTTGACAAAGCTGGCTCTGGTTCTAATACTGAGTCTAGTGATGCGTCGAGTGATGAGTACATGGATCGACAGCCGGGTAACACTTCTGAGCGCGATCCGGAATCAATACTCGATTCCCGACGGTCCGACGTACAGCGAAGTCGGCACGTAGGTTATCGAGGTCAGTGTCGACGTGTCTGGAACATTATGGGAGTGTGCAGTGCAGTGCAGTGGCGTCGATCAAAGTCCAAGCATCGACAACGGGGTTCAGTTAAATTGCTATCTGTTTGATGACTGATCTGGCGTATGGATGTATCAGCAAACATGCGCTAGAAGAGGTAATTAGAGAGGAAGCATATAAGTCGCACTTGTACGATGCATCCCACTTTTCAGTACAATAATATTAAACGGTTCGAGTGCATTACATAAAGCCTACCAGTCGATAGTACAGTCTGTCTTAAAAGTACCGCGCAAAGTGACGGTGGATCCACCAAGCCTGACTGAGAAAGGGCCTGTTTTAATTTAAAAGTCACCGACCAATTGACCTAGGGAATGGACGAGGATGTCCATTGCTTCGGTTACCCAAATTTAGCAGGCCCTTGCTCAGTCAGGCTCGATGGATCCACCGTCACTTTGCGCGGTACTTTTAAGACAGACTGTACATAAGTTAATCGGTAGGTACGAGCTACGTGAGTAATGGCTTCGGCCCATTTTATTATTATTTTATTTTGTTTACGTCCGGAGTTGTTCAATAACCTTTCTAAGGCCCGCAATGTTTTTTACTAGCGTCTACCCGGGTGTGCACAGCACGGCTATCGTCCAGTCGCCGCCACCGGTACCTATACCTGCATCGACCGGCCAGTAAACGGTGGCCTGCCGGTCTGCTACAGAACCAACAGAGCGGCGCTGAATAAATAACCGGCCGGCCGGATCACGGCCGGCGCTCGGGGTGGGGCGGAGACAGGGTGCAGCTGTAGGTAAAGGATGCGCTGGGTAGAGTCTTTAGAATTCAAGTGCTACGCTCTGCGATTATTATTGCTTTTTTGGGGAGGGGAAATAAAACAAAAAACTTTAATAATTTATCAAAAGCAAATAAATGAAAAAAGGTGCAGGTAGGAGAGTCTGCATCACAGACCTAAGAAAACTGGAAGTAGATGAGATGCGAAAAACTCCTTCATCCAAGAGGTACTCCGCCTTTTCGCTAGCACATACTGAGTCTGTCAGTCTAAGCAACAGAAAGTCAAGGCGATCTAGCGGGCCGGATGAAGTCAAACGCCTGGTCAAACGCTGAATAAAAAGAGCCGAGCAGATTTAGTGGATCAATCCTCTACTACATGTTCCAGAAAACTTTGTCGCTGAGACAGTGCGACCAAGTTATCTTCTACTTTTATTGGTCGCTTAGCACGATGCTAATTTCTCTAAATCCATCACTACATGGATTTATCAATGAATGGAGTTCGACGCCAACGTCAAAAAAGAATTGGTAACACGATTTTCTCATATCAGGAATTGAGCAAAAAGAAGCACGGTACATCGGCAAACACCCTCCGTATCCTTTTGGGAATCTGAGGAAAGATACTATCGTATCTTAAAAAGTAAACTGCATCAATCAAATATTTCCATCGCTCTTATCATTAAGTCGCCGATGTAGTCAACATTCTGTATTTAAAACATCTCATCTAGCACCAACAGCCTAGTTACATTGCCACAACATTTCATTCCTGTGCTGACAAACTACACAACAGTAACACAAAACAATCCGCGACATAGATAACATTTAAAATCGATGACAACATGTATCTTCCACAGGCTACAGCTCTATCGAAATCCGATGGCAGTTTCCGAAAACCCGCAGCTCCTGGCGCAACCCCAGTACCATCCAGCTTCTAATCAGTACCGCCCTAGGCACTCTATGGAGCCTCGAGTGCTTCCAGCGTGCCCAGCCATTACCTGCTGTGGTCCGGTCGGTGGCGGGCTGGGGGGGGGGGGGGGGGACGTAACCGGTGCCTCGGTGCCATGGCAATGACCACGACTACCGTGAGCCGGCGAGCAGGTCAATACTGCGATCACGGTCACAGGCGGGGCGCCACGGCGGGCGGGAGGGTGGGGCCAGCGGGCGGACAGTGCCGGGTAAGGCCAGCGGGCAGACTGTGCTGGGTAAGGCCAGCGGGCGGACTGTGCTGGGTAAGCCAGTAATGCCACCGGTGCTGGGTTTGGCCTGTGTTTGACATACGGCTCAAACTCCAGCAAATATCGAACGCGAGCCACCGATCCACGTTGGGCTGAGCCTGAGTTACAGTGGCGGTACTCGCTGCTTCTCGAGCACTATTGCACACGATACACGCCATAGGTACTAGGAAGGGCGTTATTATTACCCCTCCCCACAGACATCAGCCCCACCCAGCCGCAGGGCAGGCTGCCATTAGGCCAGTACGGCGAACACCTACGACCAACAACATAGAATCCGTCACGTCACAAGAACGCGCGAGCACAACAAACCGAACGCCGCCAAACAACGTAGATTCCAGCTAACAAGCTCTAAAACAAGCTGTGCATAACTATATGGCTATCGTCTAATGCGTAAGCTCCATTGAGTTCAACAATCCAAAACGACATCAGACATATAATGCTAAGTAGTCTAAATACACGTGACCTGTTCCACGTGACGGCAGCATGATCAGCTTCAGAAACAGATATTATCTTCATGACTTAGCGGTCTAACGGTTTTGACTAACAGGCGGTACCCCGTGACTACCTACATATCAATGTCATCCACATATGGACGCGATATTTCAAGGCATCGGACTTTTGAGGGCCAACACTGAACACACCGCTCCTGGTGTTTAGCTTGTCAATCTTGGGCACCTGGCTAGGTCACCACTCACAATCTTAGCTCCCCGTCCCAGGTAGCCGATAGGGCTCACCGGTCCACGCACCACCCCCAGACATTCGCTACAGATCAGCGGCTAGCTCACCGGTTTGTCAGCTCTCGCGTCGCTTGGTGCGGCAGCTGTCCACGTCCAGGTCGAACTGGGACGGCCCCGGCCGGAGGATCCGGGCCGAGCCCAGGCACTCGTCGCCCCGGTAAAATACGGCGAACTGAGGAGAGAAGGGGATCGACGCCGGGTCAGGGCACCAGAGACGCAGCAACGATAGGCTCATTATCAAAAACGTCAAATGGTTTGCGTGTAATACCAGTGATGGTCCCATCCTAATTTCACTTTATTTTAGTTTATTTCACGAAAGAATGATTCTATTTCGCTTGACTTATTAGTGCGAAATATGGTCAGCCGACAAAAAATAACCGACATAGTCAGCCACATCAAAAGTAGACGTGTGTTTCGTCACACGAAGCATCTCTCACCGAACCCCTGTCCAACATGAACGGGGACAAGCAATGACGGGGAAGCCAGGACGGGCGGAGACAGGCAGTGCAGGAAGTAGGCAGCGAGCTGTGATGGTGGGGGCCAGTGGGGCGCTGCCGTTACCGACAATGGGTTCGGCAGATCAATGATGGATCACGCGACCGACTGGTGCTGGGTCCCGCGGCATACGGAGGACACGGACACAAGGATACGAGGCAAGGACACGGACAAAAGCACACCGAGCAAGGACGCTAACATGAGGACACAATGTAAGGACACTGTCCACTGACATAAGGACACAGACATGCTGACGGACGGATACACGGACAAACGGGCAGGAACATACATACAAACACGGGAAAACAAGCACACAGACACATGTCAATAAACGAGCCCACGGACACAGATCACGGATATATTGACGAGAAACGTACCAAGAACACACGGACACAGACTCGCCTCTCTGTCGATCTCGCTCACCTGACCCGGGGTTAGGGCGCGCAGGGGGTTCGCCAGTGACACGGTTAGGTCGTTCTTGCTGGGTGACCGGTGCCACGGGTTGTGGGTACGACTGGTCACCACACACGGTACTAGCGCCTCGGTGTGCTGGAACCTGCCGGGGATGATACGTATCTCTTAGGGCAGGCGTTATACACCCAGAGAGCAAAACATTGAACGAACAAGCGTCGCAGACATGAAACATTTGCAAAATACCTTAGTATCGAGTCAGTTAAATCGCAAAAGTAGGAGCTCCTACCACACCACAGCCCTGACGTATGTATTTTGCCGTACGTCAGCCATTTGATGTCACAGCACACCGTACCGCGTAACGTATCCATGTGGGCGGGCGTGCCAAAGAGCGTTCAGAGACCACTCATTTACCGAGATCACAGAGTAAAAAAAAAACTGGCATTGCCGCTGCTCAAGAATCTCATTGGCAATCTCAGCAACGTCCAGTATTTCAGTAAGCGTTTCCGGCTTGCATTATTATAGTTATTACACAAGGGTGGGAGGGGCGACCAGCCCAGCAGTTCAGTCTCGATATAAGCATTTAAGCAGCCTTCGATATCGAGAGCACTCAGAGCAGCCCTTAATAGTCAACTACTGACGTCACAGTCGCTCTCAGTCACGAGTGCCCAGTCGCCAGGTAGGCTGGGGCAAGATTACTTGGCTAAGGAGCTCCTCATTGAGCCTAAATTGGGCAAAGTGAGAGCAGTGCTCTGCTTGCCGGCTTAACAAGTAACCCAACATTTCATCGTACGAATGGCGCTTTGGTCGATGACGAATACTGACTGTACTACCGGCTACCGCACATAAGACTGCTTCCCAAATATGTTATCCGTAGATATGGAGAGGTATAGCACAAAGAACGCGCAATACGTGTCCGACGCCTTTCCCCAACTAGCAATCTACCGCCGACAGTCCGGACGGTCGACCGATGGTTCTTCCGTGCCAACCAATCTATCGACTGTTATTGTCATCGGGTCGCTCTCACAAACAGTCCATACGAATGGTCCTACCACACTAAACACCAAATTGATGAGCCCATTTACACGAGATGGTCTTCGATAGATTAACGTTTGAACTATTACTGATGCACATATTCAAACGATTGATGCTAAGTAATAAGCGACAACCATCACGTCTGTCTCCATCATCCTTCTATTGGAGTCTTGGACAGTGTCCGTAGATTTCGTGTCTCGTCGTTGATGACCCGGGGTGTTGACACGAGAGCCAGGGACGATGTCGTGACATCGGACATTGGTCGTCACCCGTCAGCGTGGCGTGACGTGACGACGACGGGACGACGTGACGCCGTCACCGCCGCTGTTTTCACGCCGCAGAGCGATCGATAGCGGCTCAATGGTCCGCCGCAGCACCTGGCTCCTACAGACGGCCATCTTTTATATGAGGTCTTACGTGGGTAAAGAAAAGCAAAAAAAATTAATTGGTCTAACCTTTTATGCGTTCCAGATGATTTAAAGGTCAATTGATATGTTTCAGGCTTCATACGCTGAATGGATTGCTTTTCAGAGGAAGGAGGTTGCATGTAAACAGAGGCGAAATCAGCGTCTGCCGATCGAAAGAAACACACTATGAAAGTTTGAAGTGCAGAAAATTGAAAAGATTATCAAGGGAATCGTTTGGCCTAAGGGTCTTTAGATAAAAGAACGACCGCCTGAACTATGGACTCCCTCAACTAACTCAACCAATGATGTTCGCAGTCAATCAACTTACTCCATAATTCGATGGCTTTTCGATAAAACTCCATTAACCAGAATTCATCCGCGGTCAGTAAATTTAATTCAAGTAATCCACACTAATCCCAGCCCACCCACACCAGTCACCAACCAACTCAACTCAACTCAATTCAGCTGTACTCACTCAAGACACCGCCCGCGCTCACTCACTAACTCTCCTCCGCATTCTATCCACGATCACTCGAACTCAAACTCCTTCTGTGCCCACTCACTTGAACTCGCACTCGAGCATTCCCCGTCCGTAGAAGTCCTCGGGTGGGCTGTGGATCCAGTGCGGCTGGCCGGCGTGCACTGTAGACGAGTAGAGAGCCGGGTGGTCGTGGCCGGGAGCCTGCGGACAGTGTCCGAATAGTAAGTCAGTGGGCGGGATCGGAGCAGTCAGCGAGGCTGCGAGCTTTAAGCCGTTAGTGAGCTGGGACTAATCGGTCACTGAATGAGGATTGAGCGGTCAGTCAATAGTAATTGAGAGGAGACTTAACGACATATGAAACCGACAGATCCCCGGAGGGTCGACAAAATAGAACGACGAGCGTGAGCAAATTATGTCGTAGAAACGGAAAAAAATGTACCAATTGCCTCCTACAGCAAAAATACAAGAGCCATTCACCATTCAAATAGATGATAAAGACGTCAGTGTTAGGACTACAATCAATAACAGTAATATCTAAGGACCCTTAGCGACACTATTAACCTCACGATCATCCACTCACCACCAGAATATCTCCGGAATCGGTGAGCTTCTCGGCGACAAAGTAGGCGCGCGCCAGCCCGGCGATGTTGCAGCGCTGGCCGACGGTCCACTGATGGACTCCGTTATGGCGTCCCACCACCTCCCGAGTCTCCAGGTCCACGAAGTTACCGGGCCGCGGGTCCACGTACTGTCGCGGGTTAGACCGGGCGGGTTAGGGGGAGAACTTGGTGTTCTGTGTCGGCGTGCGAGACATCACACTGGAGAAATCACAGAAATGCACTCACATCGATCGCAATCAGTGAACACATGGAATCCATACGACAGGATAAAAAACAGAGCTCATGCATAGGACACACATTGGTCATGGAAGGAAATAGTTCACCTTGTGATATGTCAAATGTACCACAGCTAACCAACTTCCGTGGTATAAAACAAATAAAACAAATAAAAGTAATTTATCAGTAACGGCACTTGAATTGACTTCAGAATGCCGTTTCGAGGAAATCCTGGACAATTGGAGCAAATAACAAAGCTTATATAACTGTGAAAGGTGAACTATTTCTCTACGCGACAAACGCAAATAACTGTGGCAGAGCATAACGCAAATCAAAATAAGGAACAAAATACACGTAGGTAGTGGGAACGAGGACTGAACCATGACTGAAGTTAGGATACTAGCATCAACGTTGTGCGATTTTTAATCACGTACGAGTAAGATGAAAACAAACATACACGATGACAACTGATCTGGGTGTCAGTAGCAATATGCCTGCCGACGGCTATTTTATAATGCATGCAAAAGAAGCAACCGATGAGCTAAAACTGGGCCTTGCATTCAACTTATATTTGGGAAAATAATGGCGCTACCATAATACGATTTTATAGTTTCATGTAGACCTATTTCGCGAAGGCCTCCATACAAAATGTATTCTTGCCATGGTTGCTGTCCAAATATGGATTGATATAATAGCACGCCAAGGACAATAGGGCGCAATTTAAGCCAAATTGTTCCAGCACAGCCCTGTGATGGCGACTTCCATCGATCCCTGCGGTGAGCACCGTCCTTGAGGGCCGCTGCAGCCCTCCCTAGGTCGCTAGCAACCACTGTAAAGACCTCTCAATAGTGCTCATTGTGAGCAGTAGATACCGATCGTGTAGCTGCTCAGCCTGTCCGGTCCTGGAGACATTTACTTACAGTGCTGACTGCTGTATGACATTGATCGCGGTCACTTTGCCCATCGATCGAGGGCACATAATGAAGGCCGTCGCTCTGTATTTGCAGAAAGTGTATTCAGCCATTGCACTAGGCCACAGTGCTAGTCTACCGCGAATCAATGGTGGACAAAAGCTACCGAGACCCTTACGCCTGTCTTGATTTTCGTGGCAAGCCATAACACCCAACCACTACCCAGTTTTGACTTCAAAGAACTACTAGGAACCCGGCTAGGCTCTAGCTTTAGCCGACCCCGGTTCAAAGGCCTTGGTTGATCCAGCGAATCACGTCACGCGTTGACCAGCGTAACGGAGGTGGTTTCCGTCACGGAACTGGTGGGTCTGACCGGACTCTGACCGGGATCAATAATCCGTCCTGTGTCACACTGCCAAGACGTGATCATCCGTCAGCATGGAAGTCGACCATTACCGTGTAGGATGCTTAGCAAAAACGGTCGCTTTATCGTTCCGACATCAAGTCTCATCAGTTCCGAACATGGCTCCGATCACAATCGAAGAGGGAAGATGAGAAGTCACTGTTTGCTTGGCTAGTGAGACGTTTTATGCAGTGATAAGCAATGTTGTGCTCACACAGGTAATCGGTGTATCTGCTACACCGATTAGTCTAGGGCTACGAGTCTGTGTCTGTTTTTTACAAAATGCCAAAAAAAGACAAAAACAAAAAATAGCACTTCCACACACAGCCGATGCTGTGATGAAGCCAACATTCAGATACAGTTCAACGAGTAGAACAAGCACAATACAGGATCACACTGACACTAAACCAGCACGGCAGCCAGCTTGTATTTACCAACTGCGCAGTTTTACACTGGCCAGCGTCCCATGGAAAAGTAAAACAACGCAGTCAGCTTGCTGCGGTGACATCGAATATCGTGTATCAGACACAAGCTACAGTTTACATAAAACGGCAAAATTAGGTTTCATAAATACTGAAGACGAATGCTGTTCTCATTCCAAACATAACAGGAACAGGTAAATTATTTATTGCCTCTAACTCATTTCAAGAATCTGGGAGAACGTATAACTTTAGCAGTAGGTACTTAGCTGATTTATACCATCTGCTCCATCATACCAGAGCACGTCCGCACATAACGCTAAAATAATTTGCTCTACGCAGCACCTCTTTCCATTGCAGTCCATCCAGCTCCGAGCAGTTCTGCATACCCACCTGGCACCCACCTGAGCTATAAACTCGCTGAAGTTCCGTTTTCCGATGAAGCAGATCCCCATCGACTCTTTCCTGGCCGCTATCCGCTCCAGGCCCGCGCTGCTCGCTATCTTCTTGACCACATCTTTTGTAAACTCGCCTAGGTGGCAGCACGAGCGGTGTTAGACAATACATTTGGAGTGCCTTCAAAGGTTATGCTGAGTCACCAAACGCGTTCATTTCATATCAAAAAGGTGCTACGATAACTTCAGTGTTAAACTTTTCATTCGAAGATTGACGATATGGACGGATACTTACCGAGAGGAAATATGGTGCGGCGCAGAGCCTTCTGCGGAACTTGTGACAGAAAGAACGTCTGGTCCTTGAGGCGGTCCACGGCTTTCAGTAAACGTACCTCTGTAACACAACATATATAGGTGAGACAGTAAACTCTCCTCTACAGCTGCAAACAGCATCTTAAGCCCCTTCCGAACAAAGTACGGCAAAGATAATACATCCGAATTAGTCCACTTACATGCAGCTTACGAATATAACTCAACCATCTAGCATAGATTACCTGATCCATTATCTTCAGCGATTCGCCACAACCACAACTACCTTAGTCGCTCGTCAAATACCGCATTTATCCCCTTTCCTTCATGAAATAATGCATACCATATCCATGCTGCTCTGTTCCTGAACAGCCACATCTCTCCATTTCCAACTCCCAAGCCACCACCCCGTCACTCCACAGTTCACTCTCCCCGTGTAACTCCCCTCCGCGACTCACGCTGGCCGGAGTATTCTGTGGCGAACTCCCCCGCCGAGGTGCGCGCGTAGTGTCCGGTGGCCAGCGCGTCAGCCCCCACAGTGTGCCGCGCGTGCTCCAGCAGAGCCGTGAACTTGATGTGCCGGTTACAGAGAATGTCCGGGTTGGGCGTGATGCCCGACTCGTAGTCGCGAATCATCTCACTGGAATCGTTACAAGTGAGGAACGGCGATGAGCGCGGGATGGCAGGGAGGGGTAGCCTAAATAGAGTCTGCAATGATGGGGCAAGAAAATTGGGTCAAGAGCATAGGCGCGGGAGCCGGGGGGGGGGGGCAGTGGGGGCAGCTTGCCCCCCCCCCCCAACTCTGGGGCCGTGGGGGCGGTGCCCCCACAGCTTTGAGACGGAATACCACACTTTTTTTGCAAATGTTTTCTTTTTTTGTTGAAAAAGCCGAGGGGTGAAAAATAAGTGGCCTAAAACCGGTGAGAAAACTAGATTTGGGGAGAAAACTAGATAAAGCCGGTGAGCTGAAAACTAGATAGATAACAATCTCTATTATGGTGTGCCCCCCAGTCGGAAAGTAGTTCCCGCGCCCCTGGTCAAGAGTGATAGAGCTTGTGAGTGGCGACCCGAAAGAGTGGGTTGTTTACATACTACAAAATCAGTGGATATTTGTCTCCAATGAGAAGGCAACATTAGAACTAGTGCCCAGTAGTCACATATACAAGTCAGGATAGGTATAGAGACATCTGATGACATAAACATTAAACACACTGAATGGATGTTTAAATGAATGCAAAGGTGAATGCAAAGGTAAATGAATGAATGAATGAATGAATGAATGAATGAATGAATGAATGAATGAATGAATGAACAAATGAATGAATGGAAAATACATGAATGAATGAATGAATGGCTGAATGGAAAATACATGAATGAATGAATGAATAAATGCATGAATGAACGAATGAATTAAAGTGAAAAGATGGAAGAGGGTATGAAGAGATGGGTGAATGAATGGATGCATGTATCAGGAATTATGCCTTTCTTACTATAGACAGGCTGGCACAAAAAAGCTTACATGAATACATCATTCCAGTACTCTTTGACGAAGTTGACCTCCTGGAATGGGATCTGCAACTTCTTGCAGACCCAGGCTGCATCCTCTGCATCCTGGTCAGCTTTGCAGACACCCTGCTCATCCCGGATGTCCCAGTTGCGCATGAAGAAGCCCAGCACTTCATAACCTGGACAAGGATGGTAGGTAAATGACATCAGTACAGAGCAGCACTAGTAAGATCAGCACATAAAACATGTTAAGTCAAGTGTGCCAAGGGTCCATATGCTGACCTCATTCTGATCAACATAACTATAGTTCGTTTTTTTCAAAAGGACTCTGGCTCCAAGTACGTTTTTCGAAAAAGCACGCGTTTTAGCGACCAAAACGAGCAAAAACTGAACCTGAGAAACTCGAACGTCGCCTTATTTTAACATGTGAAATATTCCCAATAATTTTCATACGTGCATTTTGGAACCAGATATGGGAACAGTGGTGACGTCATGCTGTCAAACTTGTATTGCAATGTAACGTATAACTATCATGGACGAAACCGCTTACTCGATTATAACCTCGGCAACAGTGAAAAACGAAGTTTCCCCCAAAACCGTCGAAACTTTGTCCCATCGTACGGACATTGGGTGCCTGCTGCCACCAGTGACGTCATCATAGTATGCTAATTTTTCAAGACACAATTTCCGGGTACTTACCGTGCACAATTTGAAATCGAATATTTTTTCGGTAAGAAATTCTTGGCCAGACGCTGAAGCTGCCAAAACTCACGTGAGAGGTTCGATAAGGAACTTGGAGCCAGCGTCCTTTTGAAAAAAAAACGAACTATAACCACTCAACAACAGCCACTACTTACCTTTTTGCTTCAGCAGCAGAGCTGCTACACTGCTATCAATGCCACCAGACATAGCACATACTACTCTCTTAATCTGTCTCCCCATCTGTGAAAAGAAATGATTCTGCTTCATACTCCATTGATACAAAGATTATACTTCGTACCTTCAAGCCCCTACACTATGATAAATAAAAGAATGACTTCATTTATTGTAGAAAACTGAGCAATCATTGCAGTCCTGCAATGCATAAAAATAGTAAAGGGACCTAATTCTTACCATATACCTATGACAAACTTATGAAAAGCATAATCCAATAAAAAATGCCATTACTTCCCAAGGACTTTATGGAACTCCCATTTTTGGTTACCTAAGTCCTGACCATCCTTAGGTGTTATACTGGATGACAGTGAAAACAGGGCCCCTGGCGCGATTTGATCAAGGTTCGTGAAATTCACATGTGACGTTTAGCATGTAGAAGTAGAAGGCCCACAAAGGGGGAGAAGTCACAATTGTCACGTGACTAATATGCCCTCCGGCGCCCTGTTTTCACCGGCGTCTGTTATACTGTTGGTATACACATAATTGTAATCAGTAATGATGGCCCTTCCTTACGTAAGTATCTTAAAGGAAATAGTTCACATTTTAACATGGGTTTTGAACTGGAATAGCAGTTCCGTAGCTTGGGCTGAGACGAGCATAAATCAGGAGCTTTTACAGCCCAACGATCACCCTAGGCAAAGATATTCTATTTCTCGTCCCGAAAAATGTGTCTTGCGTTGAGGATGTGTGCCTTGCATATATTCGCATCCAGTATGAAACGAGCATGGGTCCCGAAAATTCTTCAGAAACTAGAGAAATTATCTACGAGAACTCTAGAGAAATTCGCTCCAGTGAGGCGCTATGGGCGCTCCAGTAACAAAAGCACGAGCAGATCGCCCAAATGCCGGTGGCCGCGATAATTTCTCTAGTTTCTGAAGAATTTTCGGGACCCATGCTCTTTTCATACTGGATCGCGGTGCCTTACAGAAACTGAAAAGTTCTTCCTATATCAAAAATATAGAAAATAATCTTTTGCTGTAAAAAGGTTTTATTTTCTTTGCTGATCATTTTGAACATAAAAAATCACAAATCCATTGCAAAAAAATAATTTCGTGAAAGTGAACTATTTCCTTTAAAGGGACCCTCCCACCTTCAAAAAAGTTAATGAATTGGCACGAAAGTGATGTCGCTCGGTTCAGAAAGAGCGAAAACGAATATCTACCAAATTTCATCGAAAAATATTCAGCGGTTTTCAAGATATTAGACTTTTACTTTTGTTTACTTTTTGGGATCTCCGCTGTTCCTAGCGACTTTATTTGAAAGTGTGGCATTTGTTCCGCGCAAAGCAGCATATACCACCGCGTGCTACCAAACGTTTTAGTAAAAGATTAAAAAATCGTTAGATCTCCGCTGACGTCACAAATTCTAAGGGGGCATACCAATGCACTAGCCCCTTAGAATCCGAAAACTGCAAGTTTGAAATTTCATATCTCCGAATTAAAGCATTTGTCGATGTTATGAGTGCCCAAACCGGTATTTGCAGGCCATGGCCACCAATTTGGCTATCTCAACTCAAAGCTAATGTTAAGGTGGGAGTGTCCCTTTAAGCTTCCACAAAATGAGGGTTAAAAAGCTATGAAAAAGCAAAACAACATGCTTTGCCTTAGGATGATGTAAAAAGTAGACAGCAAAACTGCAGATGATGCAGATACTTCAAAACAACAGCTACGATTCTAGGTTAAAGGTCCCTGGCTGAAGTCAAAGTAATTGTAATGGTATCAGCTTGATAGGTACTGCCTCATTCTTTCATTTTTCATGCACACTGTGCATTCTAACCACGAATAGCTAGTAGAAGCAAACTTATAAAAATGCTGAGAGAAATCATAGAATTTAACGTACACTTAACAACCACAATCCATCAAAAAATGCTGACTTTGAACTTGACTTCGACAGACAGGCGACAGCAGCCTCATGCATGAGAGACCATTCAGCAAACAGACACAGGTAAAAATGGACTTAGTAATATTTCTGTTCGAAAAAGCAGAATTCCCTCACCTTGCTAGGCAACTTGCTGGCAAATTAAAAGTTTTGTTGATTCGGCACCAAGTTGCTAGGCAACTGACGTCTGATTTAGTAATTAGTGTTCAATCTTGTATGTTTCAGATGCGTCGTTACTGCCGCAATCAAAATATGGAAGCATAGGGAGAAATAGCGGCCAAACCTAAAGCCCACTACTTATGTAAGGTAGGTCTTTATTTATCCTTTGGTAGGTCAATTCGGGTATTGAATTTGGCGGTCCGTACCGCAAGCGATGTTTTTTCAATGTTTTAGCACCATGGTGCCAATTGGCATCGTGTTATCGTCAGTTCACAACAGGATTGGGCGGGATCCGTGGTCAAACACTCACAACACCGCCGGGCGCCGCTCGAACTGTAGGACAAATCATGCATCGTGAGTCGTCGCGCGGCAGCGCAGCGTCAAAATGTCAGATATCTATGACCATTCCCACCCTTTTTTCACCGTAGACTAACAGGGCTCTTGCTGTGATTTACCGTAACCCGTACGATAATGTGACTGGTTAGGCGATGCGTCTTGGAACTGCGCAGAGTAAGATTGAGACGTGTTTTAAGCCAGCTTTCCCATTCATCTGCTAAACAAAAACCGAACGACGTTGGCGACAGACAAGCCGAAATCACCATTATTCACTCCTCAGACACGTCTGATACGTATCCATATTAGTAAAACCGTATATTTGCGACATTGGCACAGATGTGGATGACCTCTAGAAGCTAGTGTGAGGGTTGTCACTCGTACGAGGGTTGCCGCGAAGATCGGCGGCTATCAGGCTGCACCGTTAAACTCGCCAGGTGGGTTACCTTCGCGGCACATGCAGTCAGTCGCGATAACATATTACGAGAGTCAGGAAGGCACGCTTCAAATGCACGTAAGCTGTGAACATTGTTCCATGATACTGGATGGAAGTGTAACGTAAAAGCACCGAGCTGGAAGCACATCCCGATTACAGAGACCAGACTAGCCGGTCGTCTGGCAGTGCGCGCAGCAAAACCGTCCAAAATATTTGCAAAAATGTGGAAATCGGCCAGCCCTAGCCGATTGCTTTTAAGCACATGATCAAAGCAAAAATCGCATAAAAGTAGCAGGGCCAAAGGCGATAAAGCATTATCTTCGGCAGGTCATTCTGTTTTCATTTGTCGAAAGACCAGTCGCACTGTTGCATAGAGCGAAATAAAGGCACAATGTCCTGGAGCACATTTACATGTGAACAAGTCACTTGTTAAAACACGTCACTCGTTACCTTATACACCGTCATATCTCGACATAAAATTCATAGATTCTCGACTAGGTGTGAGTACCGTTATATCAACTGTTACGGTACATGCTAAAAACTTACTAAAGGAGCAAGAGCCCACATCACATTAGCGCGCACCTATTCACACTCTACAAAAGCGTCTAAAATAAGTTAGCAGTTAACGCTGAAAAGGGCCGTCCAAGTTAGAACCGTCAGCTGGTTATCATACATCACGCTCTCCGAAACACTAATTCAGATGTTTGTACTTGAAAAACAGATTGTACAACACTCGAAGGGTCGACTTCAAGTCCAGATTAACAATATCTGAAAAAAGGAGATAAACGGTCACTTATACGGTGATAAAAGGTTGTTGTGAAGGCGAGTTAAGAACATTACTGTGGTCGTTTGGTAAGTAATTTATGACAACATATATTGAACAACTAATGCAGTGAAAACCAACTGATTGCATTGACGGACACTGAGGGATGCCACAACGCTCACACGATAAAACAGCCCAAAACGTCAATATCCAATAATTGATACCGAGCCGCTTGAGTTATCGACCTTCCCAAAGAAGCCCTGAGAGCACACTTACTACTGTTTGTCATCCTGAGCTCCCACTTCACCCCTCCTAGCTCACCGACCCTTCCAGCCTCCCTCAGTCCCTCACTCACCCTCGGGCCGCGGCTTGGGCGGCGGCAGACCCGCGTCCTGCATCAGCTCGAAGGCGAAGCTAACGTTGTGCACCTTATCCTCGAAGGTGCGCGGCGTCAGGTGGAAATCGTACAGCGGCACGAAGTAGTCCTCCAGCAGGCCCATCATCAGGCACAGGTAGACGCCGTCGTTGAACTGGCTGTCCAGGTCGGTCACCTCCAGGTTGATTTTGTTTAGCTGCTTGTTGGCGAACGTGACCAGCGACTGCAGAGCGGACGGGGGAGGGACGAGGTGAGACGATAAGTCGATATTCTTAGAATGAAGCAGAGGCGTACACTAGCCACAGCTGGTGACTAAACTGATCACCGTCTACAGCTGCTCTACCGAAACCAGAAGGACAGTAGCGTTCTGATGCCGGATCCCCATGAAGGTCACCACGGGAATGTTTGCCGAATATCAGCGACATAAGTTTACACCGCACTCACTGATTAACCTATCCGGGGCATCATCCCTGTAGCTACTGCCAGTTCCGAAGTTCGAAGACAAAACTGATCATCATTAGCACGACGTAGGTACCTTTTTGTTGACATGCAGTTTGTTCGGGCTGCGATACCCAGATGGACGTACCTTTTTGACAACCTGCAGCTTGTCGGGGGCGTGGTCGAACAGCGTATCGAAGGCGTCCCTCTCGTAGCGCAGGCCCAGGTCGTCGTAGGTGGAGGTCATCTCCTCCTCGACCAGGCGGTGGCTCAGCTGACCGTCCTCCTTCTGTGAAACACGGGAAAGGGAAAATAAACATTTAAATTAGCTCCTGAAACAAGATCACGTACTGCATTCCATCAAGAGGAGTTGTTTAAATACGAGAACATTTTGTGTAAAGGTAAGTCGCTTTCCCTTCGTCCATTTATAAACGGTGCGAAACCTTCAATCAATTGTGTTTTGAATTCGTTGACAGCCGGATCAGGTCGAGATCCAAGTACCGGTCTACTCTTCGCCCGCCCACCGAGCTCTGACCTTGACGATGACGACCTTGGCGAACACGTTCTCGGGAAGCCGGATCGGAGCGCGGTAGTGGCGCACCAGGGCCACCAGCAGGTGCACGATGGCGATCACGTTCTTCGAGTGGATCTTCTCCACGTTCCACAGCTGGCTGCCCTGGTGGCCGAGACCCAGCATCTGTCCAGAGAGGGGGAGGGGATGTCAGCTCCACTGGCCAATAACATTGGTCAGCAGAGGCTAGGCAGGTGAAGAAAGCCGGCAGCAGTGCTTTATTTTCGTGTCCGAACACAGTCTAATGCACTGCAGTAAGTGGTGCCTAATGAAGGAACGACCTTATGTCACGTAAAAGCACCTAGCTCGTCGAATGTCCAATGTGTGCTGTTTGATGTGGTAAGCCATCTGAAACTGCTGTTCTCACCTGGTTGATGGACCCGATGACCACCTTGAGTTTCTGCTTCTGAGCTACCTCGGACTGTGTGACCTCGGGCACGGCCAGCGTCACACCGCTCAGCTTCTCTGCAACGTGCGGCCAAAATAGGTCAGAAAGTGGCCTGAATGCTATGACATATAAGACAAATATATCCTAAAATGTCTCCAAAGCACTCATGTGAGTAATTTGGCACACACCGCGTCTATTTAACGGCAAAATTTCACGCGTCTCCGCCCAGACACCAGCTTATGTCAAAGAAGAAGCCAATGGTCAGGTCCAGGAAGGGCTGATTGCTCTGTAAAGTGAGAAGCTTGCATAATTTTATCTACGCTTTTGCGAATCTACACTGTGTCAAAAGAACTTAGCTATACACAGCAGCATTACAAGTTTGTCTCGATCCATAATCCATAGCCCAAATGCCGACCTCCCCGTTCCCTTCATATTGCCTGTTGCCGTCCCTGCCCATCTCCCCATCCCCATCCCGTCCTCACCGGTGAGTTTCTGCAGCACATGTCCGTCGTAGAGGTCCTCCTCCAGCGATTTGACGATGATCCGATACTGGGCCAGCTCATCGTTCAGCCAGCCGGTCAGCACACGCCGCAGGTCGGCGAACCGAGCCGAGTTGTACGAGTGGGGGTCGATCATCGAGCGCTCCTCACCCTCCTCTGAGATAGGAGACAGCAGAGGCGGCAGACGTCAGAGGGGCAGAGCAGTCATGCCAGGAACAGAGCACAGGGCGGAGATGGATGGAGGCCTCTGGTCAGCGATGGTCAGTCAAGAAAAAAACTTCGAACTTGATTGAAAAAATGAACAAAATGCATTGCAAGGAAACTGTTGTTTACTGAATATCCTTCATTACAAGTATTTTTGATGATTTATTGTAAAAAAAAAAAACACCAAACACATAGGTGAAATAATCCCAGCTGCTCTAAAAACTCAGGCTGTTTGGATGACGCCGAGGCACTTACCGATGTTGTAGTATTCGGCCGGCAGATCGCGCAGCACGGCGCCGCCCGGCGAGTCGATGGCGAACTTTCCCTCGCGGCTAACATTCTGAACTGAAACACAACCAGATACGAGTCATTTGGGCGCAATGCTCAGCGTAAAAAAGTACCTCCTCAGCTTCATGGCCAATAATTAGAGATGCAGAGCTCTAACAAGCTTGATAGTTGGCTCTGAGCACTGGTTCGCCAGGGTCATGCATGGAAACCACAGGAAAAGAAAGCAGCACACAGCACATCAATTTCAGCACCAAAGCATTCGCAATATCCAGGAGCATCAAACATTGACAGCTTCCAGCTGCACTTCACAGACCACACACTTCACCCCCTAGCCAGTAGTGGCCAGTGGCTATTCTATGCTGATAGCCACTAAACGCATGACTCGACCGACTCAAACCGATTCAGATCGACTCAGAACGACTCAGAACGACTCAAACTGACTCAGACCGACTCTATTCTGATTTCTGATCGACTCGGGCAGACTCAGAACGACTCAGGCAGACTCAAACTGACTCGACCGACTCAAACCGATTCAGACCGACTCAGATAGACTCAGAACGACTTAAACTGACTCAGATCGACTTAACCGACTCAAATCGATTCCAATCGACTCAGACAGACTCGGAACAACTCAAACAGACTCGGGCAGACTCAAACTGACTCGACTGACTCAAGCTGATTCAGATCGACTCAGACTGACTCAGCTAGACTCAGAACAACTCAAACTGGCTCAGACCGAATCAACCGACTCAAATCGATTCCGATCGACTTAGACAGACTCAGGCAGACTCAAACCGACTCAACCGACTTAAACCAATTTAGACTGACTCAGACAGATCCATTAGTTTGACCTGAAGCATCAGACCTGAATCAGTTTGAGCCGGTCGAGTCAGTTTGAGTGTGCCTGAGTCGGTTTGAGTATGTCTGAGGCTGTCTGAGTCGTTCTGAGTTTGTCTGAGTCGATCGGAATCGATTTGAGTCGGTTGAGTCGGTCTGAGTTAGTTTGAGTTGTTCTGAGTCTATCTGAGTCGATCTGAATCGGTCTGAGTCTGCCTGAGTCGGCTGAGTCTGCCTGAGTCGGTTTGAGTCTGCCTGAGTCTGTCTGAGTCTGCCTGAGTCTGTCTAAGTCATTCTGAGTCTGTCTGAGTCGATCGGAACAATTTGAGTCTGTTGAGTCATTCTGGGTCAGTTTGAGTCATTCTGAGTCTATCTGAGTCAGTCTGAGTCGATCTGAATCGGTCTGAGTCTGCCTGAATCGATCGGAATCAATTTGAGTCGGTTGAGTCAGTCTGAGTTAGTTTGAGTCAGTCTGAGTCAATCTGAATCGATTTGAGTCAGTCGAGTCAGTTTGAGTCAGCCTGAGTCAGTTTGAGTCTGCCTGAGTCATTCTTTAAGTTATCTTCTCTTACCCAGTGACGTCACAACAGCATGCTTCGGCCTGGCATGGCGGCTTAAAACAGGAAACCTTAACCTTGAACGAAAACGCTACCTTAAAATTCTACTTTTCCACCCCTGCTCACCTACTGAACAGTGGACATGAACATGTGCAAAAGAGATGTGCAGTTGCAGTGATGCCACCTGATACTGCATGGTGTTGGCCATGCCTTGCAAGGCTTGATGCAGGCCTTGTTTCCAATCCAAATCCTATTTTTGGCAAGTGCTTGAAAAGACAACGCCAATAATCCTGGTTTATAAAAGTTTAGGCATAAGTATATATTAGGTCCGAGTGGACAATTGTGACGCTGTTGATACAAATATGTAACAGCAAAAATTTTAGGTTTTAGGTTAGGTTAGGTTGTAGGTTTTAGGTTTTAGGTTGTAGGTTTCTAGGTTAGGTTAGGTTAGGTTGTAGGTTGGTAGGTTGTAGGTAAATGGGTAAGGTTAGGTCAGGTTTGATTATGTTTTTCTTTTATTTCCAGGACATATAAGTATCATTTTTGGATTCAGGATGTCAAATAATGTGAGAATATGAAAACTTTGGCGGCGTTCGATGTCTCCCAGACGGCAAAGATTCTTTGCCGTCCGGCCAATAACGTCCAAGGTCAGCGGGGGCTCGGCTGCGGTTATGAAACGTGATTGGCCGGCCGGCGAAGAATCTTCGCCGTCCGAGACATCGAACGCGGGGTTTATCTTTTAACAGTCACTCGGACTTAATGTATACTTTTACCAAAGTTTAAATACCACCCAATATGTTCCAATGAATTATTTCATGAAAAAGCGAATTAAAATAAATCAATATTGGAAACAAAAATTGTAATTACAAGTAGACGAAATCGGCGCAAAATGTGAACAAAAATCACATCACAATTCGGCATCATTTAATAATAAAAAACATACATACAACTCACCTTGTTGTATCTTTTTCTTCCTTCCAAGGGTTCCGATCTTTTCCCAAATAGATTCGTCCTTAGAGTTATTTCTCGAAGCAGGTGTTCCAGGAGATTTCGGGCGTGGCGATGCCATCTTTGCGAATGAAATGTAAACATACTATAATTTTGTTTCCATATGTACGTAGGGGGAATATGGCAGCTAAATTTCCCTATTTACTTTTGCAGATGGTATACTGGCAGAACATTTCTTACATGGCGATATTTCTTATGAAGCTACCCAGTATAAGTACAAAAACTTTGCAAAAACTTATTTTTTGGCCTCCTTTTGGTATTATTTCTTTTTGAAGCGTTGTGAGAATATGTGTTGAAAAATATGGGCATTCAGTAAAAAAATAATAATTCAAATATTTTGCGATTCTCCCATGAGAGAATTTGCGATGAGAGAATCACTCGAAATTCTCCAAATAGCGAGCTCTTTTCTCGAAAGTCATGGCAAGGAAACTGTTTACCGTCTGCTAAAATAAGCAAGCTCCCCCTAATTTGAAAAAGTGCACACGCGCGAATGTTGATGTTATTTTTGTGCGAGACGCGGTCAGCCGGTCAGCCGCGTGCGTCCTTATTTTGATTTTGTCGGTGGTAGTTGATTTTGTCGTGGTTTATTTTTTTTTCTCGATAAAACCGGGAATAACGCCGAACGCGAATGCTATGCTATCGGTCCGACGGCCTTTCGGAAATCGTATAGCCTTTGAGTTATTATTAGTTTTGTCGAAAAAATAATACCAGTCGGGGAAACTATGGTAAAATCTGCTATTTTTAGCAGTCTGCTATTTTTAGCAGAAATCTGCTAAAAATGGGTACGCATGTGACGTCATCGTACCCAAATATAGCAGATTTGGGTACGGCCCCATACAAAGGCAGATCTGCACCCTAATTGAAGCAAATGCGCATCAAATGCCTGGCAGATTCATGATGAGAATAGTGCTGAGAGTGTTCTCTGCTATTTTTGTTCAGATCCGACTATTTTCAAATTCATTATTTAAAAATAGTCGGATCTGAACAAAAATATCAGAGGACATTCTCAGCACTATTCTAATCATGAATCTGCCAGGCATTTGATGCGCATTTGCTTCAATTAGGGTGCAGATCTGCTTTTGTCAGGGGCCGTACCCAAATCTGCTATATTTGGGTACGATGACGTCACATGCGTACCCATTTTTAGCAGATTTCTGCTAAAAATAGCAGACTGCTAAAAATAGCAGATTTTACCATAGTTTCCCCGACTGATACCTACCGCGCTCCGGGAGCCCAAAAACCCCAATTCATCATCATCTTCACCAGTTCTCTATAACTATATACCTACCGTGATCCTCGCCTACCGTGCAGTCTGCAGAGGGCTGTACCTACTCTGTTCTTCTGAGTCGTTAAAAAAAAAACACAAAGTATTGGCATTAGTAGAGGCCAGTTTTACCGACAGAAAAATAGCCACCTGCCTGAATTTTTTGTCTTATGACCGCTTCACATAGGCAGAGCGTAAACAAGCTGGGCACGTAGGCGAATAGGGCTCTACCGTTTACGCTCCGTATGTGAAGCGGTTTTAGGCAATATGCAGTAATGTCTGTCAATTTAATTCATTTTGAACTGAATTGATTGTGATGTCTTGATTATGATCTGTGCAGCTTTTTCAGGCTTAGTTCAGCATTTGCCCATCTGTATCTGGCAAATTGTTGGTGAGCCTTTGCTCCTATCATGCCTGGGAAGGTGGAGGCCTTGAGCGAGCTGGAGAAACTCCAGCAGCAGAATCGCGAAGCCAACCGCAAGGTGCTTCAGGAGCTTGGTCTGCTTGAACCGGTGAGTAATGGTACCAGTTACATCAGATTGGGTTTCAGCTGATGGAGTCTTGAGCAGCCATTGGATTGGAAGCAAGGTAGAGCAGGTACTGACTGAGCAGCCTGGCATGTGACTTGTGAGAACCTATGATTAAAATGCAAAGTGGGCTTCAGCAATCAGCATTGAGCAAAGACTTTTATGTTGACTTCTTGAGCCCATAATAATCTTAATTCCTAATTCTTGAGTCAATGATGGAGAGTCAGCAGCCACTGGTTTAAGGTTTACAATTTAAATGATTTTGTGTGCCTACCCATTTAGAAAGTGTTATCACTTAGCAGATCACAGATAGGTACTTTTGTCTTGAACTTTTGCAGTTGCACCGAGTACCAGAAAACTGTGCTGATTGGTGGCATCTGGCTATAATCAGCTCTTTTTCTCCACAACTGCTTTTTGTGGATTTAGCCTAAATTATTTAATTGGAATTGACCAGTTGTTGGAGCCAGATCATGGACCAAGCACTAAGCAGGGGTTGTGCAGGACCCTGAGTTCTGCCATTTAACCCGCGCCCGGCTGGGGGTCCTGGATTTCCACGCCCTGCTGGGGGGGGGGGGGGGGGGGTGTTTGAACACCCCCCTTGTAACTCGGCTCCTGGGCCACGTAGCGATACGCGGAAGGCGGCGTTCGAAAGAGCATCAAAAATAATGACGAAATCACTTCGGTCAATTTTTTGCTCAGGTCAAAGGTCAGGTCACCAGAGGTCATTGAAGGCAAAATTTCGCCGATTTCCAGGTCGAATGTCGAAAATTTCCAAGAAGCCAACGCATAACTCGGAAACCAATAGAGCTACAGCGCCGCGGAAAAGCGCATTCGATAGCCCTATTAACGCCCTTTCTGAGTAATTCGCTCAGATTTGACCTAACGTCAACGGTTTTGCCTGCAGGGGGCAAAAACTGCAAATATAGCCGATTTTTTCGGAAACAGTTTTTCTGCAATAACTTTTGACCCAAGCCTTGTACGAGCTTACTTTTACCGGCATCGTGTTTCTCTCGTCAAGACGCATCGAATGAACTATAACTTGACCTTGAAAGGTCAACTTGAAAATTTGACCTCAGGTCAAGGTCATGACCTGACCGGAAAGGGTCATGTTGCATATCAGTCGATCCGTATCGTCGAGCTGAACACATCTAAGGCGTTTTCATTGCTCTAGCATGCCTCTATCAAAAGTTATTTGCGAAAAACTGTTAGATACCATTCGTGACCTAAGATGACCTCAGGGCATAAACAAGGGTCACGGACACCATTTTCATGTTCTGTGTGTCTAAACCACTTGTAATTCGGTGTTTGGGAGTGTTTATAATGTCTTTCGTCCAAAAGAGGAGCATTTCAATTTTCTCCCATTGACTTATAATGGGGAGGTCGCAAAATTGACCTGACCTTAGGTCACCGATATCAAAATTCCGAGATATACATTTTATAGATACTGTTACCCTTATCAATCGTTGAAAGTTTCAAAGCGATCGGTCACTCGGTGTAGCTATGACAGACATTGAAACTTTTTATGAGGTGAGGTCACTTCAAGGGACCTGGTGACCTGACCTTGAATGACCTTGGTCTGAAATTTTCAAAACATGTGTAGAATTGATGTATGATAAGGTGTACCAAAAACGGCGGCGCTCCGCGCCGCCGTTTTTGAGATATTCGCGAAAAACCACAGGGGGGGTGTTCAAACACCCCCCCCCCCAGCAGGGCGCGGGTTAATTGGTCAACTCTGAGTAACGGGAGGATGTAGATACCTAAGCTAAGTGTGCCCATCAAAGCCTGATATGGCATACTCCACTCAACAAACTTCAGCTGACTGCAAGTGCAGCTGCTCCCTCCAACTCTAGACCGTCCCCTTCAGAAGTCTCATATGTCGAGCGCTGGAGGGACTTTAAACCAAACTCTCACCTGAGTCACCACAGGCACAGTGAGTGCAATGCTTTTCCAAATTCCAGCTGAGCTATGATGGGAAAGGCGTACTGCACACTTGCTGTTTCTTGCACATCTGGATTTCCAGCTCATCTGCAAGCTTTTTATTTTACCATGCTTGCATTAAGGAGTTGAAGCTGCCAGCCTATATCAATGCTTGGCACTTAAATTACCTATACGATTTGTCATGCAGTTACCACCTCTGCGATCTGCGATTCGTGTGAAGAAGCGACCGGCGCCTGCCATCAAGAGCCGACCAGCCAAGAGGCCCCGTCCGCAGCCGGAGCGAGATGATGCTGAGTACGGCACTGAGCTGACAGAGGGACGCCGGCGTTCCACCCGCCAATCCAACAAGGTGAGCGGTGGGGTGCCAACTTCACGGAGCAGGCCAGCATGGCCAAATGCCAGCTGGACTGGAAACCGGCCCCTGGTTCGCCGATGGCCACTGTAGTCCGGGCGCCCGACCCGCCCCCCCCCCCCCCCCCGACTTTGTTCGATATTTTTACCGTTCCGTGAACATCAGTTGTCACTTGTCAGTTTTTGTAGTTCCGGGAGGCTTTGCTAACTTCTCTAATAGGAGGCAGCATTTGATGTTTGCTATCCTCTCACAATAAATTGGACTTCATTTGCCTTGAATTGAATCGAAAATGGTGTGCCGGTCAGTTGGCTTTACTCTGTGTAACACCTCAATCTTCTTCAGCCGGTGAAGTTCTCCTCGCTGGATTACGGGTCGGACGTGGAGGACGACTCTGATGACGAGGACTATGATGACGAGGGCGGCCGGCGGAGGGCCAGGAAACCCTACACACCGCGCATCCGCGTGTCCGTGCCCAAGAACAGGGAGAATGTGTACGGCGCCATTCCGGGTGAGTGAGGACGACGCAAACTCTGAGATCGACATTTATCGCTTCCTGATCTTCTTTAGCAACAGTTATAAGCCGGAAAAAGTTTCGAGGTAAAACGTTTCCTATATACTCGTAGGTAACAAACAATTAGTTGTCATTCGTTGCGAGTAAGTAATTGATAATTCGGAAACTGGTAGGTATGCTAATTATGCATTTTTTCTTACGCAGTCCACTCTAATTACGAGTATGCTACTGCACATCACCCCTGGCAGATGGATCTGGAGACTGTGACTTACCTAACTTACCTAACCTAACCTAACCTTCTTTCCTACCCTGTTTGTCTAGGTGTTGCGGTAGGGACGTGGTGGCAGACGCGACTCGAGTGCTGCGCGGACGGCATCCACCGTCCCACGGTGGCCGGCATCCACTCGGGGCCCAGCGGGGCGTACAGCATCGCTCTCAGCGGAGGGTCAGTAGGCGCAGTGCGTACCGAGCTACACCAGCGGGGCGGCTCCTGCGGCTTGGGGGGCGGGGGGGGGGAAGTTTCCTCACTATGTGTACTCCGTTTCCTTTCTGAAGTTTCGCGGTAAAAAGAAGGAAAAAAAAAACGTTGAAGCTTTGGAAACTGGGACCATTGGCCACTTTAAATTAAGTCGGTGTTATTTTAGTCGATAAATTAGGTACCAAAGCAAATGACACTGTCCGTGAATTTGTGCCTCTTTTCTATTTGCGCATCAAGCGCAATATTACTTCAGGTCCACTGATCTGTTTCAGGTACGAGGATGATCTGGATTGGGGCGAGTGCTTCACCTACACCGGCGAGGGCGGCCGAGATCTCAAGGGAACGGCCGCGCAGCCGAAGGTAAGTCAACTGACAGCACCCATTCGGTCCCAACCCGTTCTCGCGATATCCCACCGATCCCCCCCCCCCCCTCCCGAGAAGCCTGCGGATACCAGATGCCGTCCTATGGAAGTCTTCATAGTTCATTCTAACATCGTGGCTTTCCGACGCTGAAATGGTTCAAGGGAACTGCGATGTTAATGCGCCGTGCGGTTACTGCGAACATTATTTATATTGTGATAACTTTGCTAAATGTAAAAGTTTCAACCTCCCATCTACGGGCGCGCCTGTCCCCAGAACCTGCGCACGGCGCCGCAGTCCAAGAACCAGGAGCTGACCCGCGGTAACCTGGCGCTCACCAAGAACGTCGAGACGCGCACCCCGGTCCGGGTGATCCGCGGCTACAAACTGCAGAGCCCCTACGCGCCCGAGGAGGGCTACAGATACGACGGTCAGTGGGCGAGGGGTAGCGGAGATGATTCTGAAGGAGTCCCGGGGGAGGGGCAAATAATCGATCATAGAATAACATCAAGCTAGTCAATCATCGTATCGTATATTTAATCCTCGTGTCGTTGCTCATCGTTATTTGATCGTCCACTTTTACGAGCTCCTTTGTGCTCGAGATCGTAAAAAATGTATGTATTGGTGATGAATTATATGTAGATGACTAGAGACCCAGAAACGTAAGCAAACAAGCATTTAGGCAAACGAGATATTAAAGTGAATGGTTTTATGTGACTTTCGATGAATAATCCAGTGACGCTTTTTGCTCCACCTCCAGGTCTGTACTGGGTGGAGAAGTTTTGGCTGTGCCGCGGACAGTCGGGGTTCATGGTCTACAAGTACGCCATGAAGCGCTGCGAGGACCAGCCGCCGCCTCCCTGGGAGGTAGGTTTACTTAGTACTTACCCCATTGAGCGAATCCATAATTCTTGATTAGGATGTATTTAGGCTTGCCAAGTTGTCTTGTTAAAGGGACCCTCCCACCTTAACATTAGATTTGAGTTGAGATAACCAAAATGGGGTCCCTGGCTCACAATTACCGGTTTCGGCACTCACAACATCGAGAAATGCCTTAAATCGGAAATATTGAATTTCAAAATTGCAGCATTTTGATTCAGAGGGGCTAATGCTTAGGAATACCCCTCTGAATGTGTGACGTCAGCGCAAATATCTAACGATTTTTAAATGTTTGACTAAAATGTTTTGTAGCACGCGGTGGTATATGCTATTTGCGCGCAACATCTGCCGCAAACGCCGCACCTCTAAAATAAAGTCGCTAGAAACAGCGGAGATCCCAAAAAAGTAAACAAAAGTACAATTCTAATATCTTGAAAACCGGTGAATATTTTTCGGTGAAATTTGGTAGATATTCGTTTTCGCTCTTTCTGAACCGAGCGACATCACTTTCATGCCAATTCATAAACTTTTTTGAAGGTGGGAGGGTCCCTTTAACCTGTGCCCCGTCGCGGTGATTTTAACCGAGACTGACTTCTCCGTCTATCCTATTATGGCTGGCTGAGACGTCATAATCCGTGTGGTTTTATGGCGTTTATAATCTTCTGTGATTCTAGGGTTAAATAGATGTCACACCCGCCCCCCTTTGCGAATGGCTCAGCTCTCCTGTTTTGTGCTATCTAATTGGTGGTAAGCTGACGTTTTCCGTCTGCTGCTATTTCAGAGTGGAGCTGACGGAGACTCTGCCTCCTGTGATGAGCCTACGTCGGAAAACGAGGAGGAAAAGGAGGAAGAGGAGAAGGAAAATAAGGTCAGTAAGGCGAAAAGGGGTAGGAAGGGACAGGGCCGACAGGGGCGGAAGAAGGAGGCAAAAGCAGCGAGGGATGTCAATGAAGAGACTCCGGGTGGAGAGGGAGATGGAAACGAGGAAGAAGAGGAGGAAGCTGGTAAAGAAGAGCAACAAAAGATGGAGGAAGAAGATGAGAACGAAATACCATTTGAGCTGAAGAAGAAAGAAAACAATGGAAAGGAAGCCGCGGATGAAGAGAACAGAGAGCAAGAAGTGATCGATGATAAGATAGGCGAGACCAAGAAGGCGCCTGCAGTGCGTGGCAAGAGGGGAAGGAAGAAGAAAGAAACGAAGGCTGATCCCACCAATGTGCTCAAGAAGGCCGCTGATAACGTAGAACCAACTGGTAAGGAGACTGAAGAAAACAAAGGAACGGCGAAAGAGGAAGATGATGGAAAAGAACAGGAAGGAGGCGAGAAAGAAGATGCAAAGGATGAAACAGAGGAAGAGGTGAAGGAGACTGAGAAGAATGCTGACGAAGAGTGACCCAGTGACAGTTGAGGCGGAGCACTAACGACAATTTGAGATAAAGTACAACGAACGCCACAGCTTTCAGAAAAGCGCCCCTGAGGCCTGAAGTGTGTCCCCCGAAGTCCTTGAAGTGTCCCCGGACCTGTGTATGTACGTACAATGGAGAGGGACCCCGTGTGCACCGTTCGACAGCTTCCATTTCTAGCCTTTTCTGGTCGAGCCGTACGGTGTAGTGATTTTTGGCTGTATGTAACTGTTACTGCCGGTGTAAGTGAACGGGAAGCGCGCTTCTCAGCATGGTTTTCTAAGATTGTATGTGATTGCTTGGGCTGCGGCAAACGCCAGTTGCCCGTGCTGTTTGTTTTCCATTGGTTTTGCAATGCTGAGCCTGTGCTTGTCTGTACCGATGAAAGATTGCCCATGTCATTTTGTCGTGTTTTGCATTTTGGGACGTTATTCACGATTTTTACGTCAATTTTATTCTTGCCTTCCGCGTACCGTTTTTAAACATCGATTTCGGAGAAGACGTGCATTTATTTCATTGTTTCTCAACTGATGGATATTTCATTCCATGTTTACAACCGTGCTTACCATTCTAATTCTATCATCTATGTGCATCAAACAGTTTCATAGTGTTTCAGGACTTTCGAATCGGCCTGTCGTTGACCGCCGAGAGTACGCTGCTCATCGAATACCGTTGTGCCATAATTGCACTTCCCGTGTATCAGTGTAAATGACGTTTGATGCAATAAATGTTCTTTTTTAAATGTGTCGTTGAGATCCCCTCCCGGCCTCCACTCGGAGGGGAGTCTAGCGCCCGCCATGTGATGTCGGTAACCGTTGGCACTTCGCATGAGAGCGACAACTCCGTCAAGCTGTCAGCTGAGTTTTTTTCGACTTCCCACAAATCTAGCTGTCAAATGTTTCCGGCAACATCTAATGCTACCGGGTGATATAATGCGCTACACATATTGCTGTTAATTTTTCAGTCGGCAGCAATCTCTTAGCTCTTTTTGACCTGAAAAGGCCAATCAGAGCTATAGGTATGATAATAGGATAGGGCGGAATTGGGCTGTACGGAACACCGAAATTGATCCACGGAGACGAGACCGTCCCGGTGCAGTGGAACCGGAATCACACAGTCCGCCCGCCTCCCAAACCGTCACCTCGGAGAGGAATTTAATGGGCCCTGAAGTGGGCCCGACTTCAACCACCGGTCGTCATACGGGATGACCGCCAGCCCCGAAAGGGTAGCGTGATGGGTGACGCGCATGGGTATGTCCCGAGGATGGCGAGGACGGACGTTTCAATTTATCTTTGACGGTTGCGTCGTTGCATTACATTCAGCGCCTATGATCTCGTCATGACCCTAATCTTTCCCGTCTAAAGATTCCGAGCTCATTCACCGCTCTTAGAGATATCTGAGACAGTCTCTCTTCATTGCCTGAAAACATCAGTTTATCCGGAGGAGGCATATCTAGCAACGCTTTCAAATGTTTTTAAATCATGCGGCGCGGATGAAAACAACTATCATCGATCAGTCAACCGATATATTAACAGAAGTCGAACGCAGGGCATGTTAACGCTTCCTTTCTTTGGCGTTACAATGGCGAGCACTCTGCTTACGATCAAGCGAGGCAACCTAGACAAGAAATGCAATCGTTAGGCCAAGAGCAAACGTCGCCGAATAAAAAATGCTGCCGGCAAGCCTTCGGGCCGCGGGTTAGCATCTTGTATAAAACTAAACGCACAGGCGCCGAATACAACGAAAGGAACGCGCAGAATCAGAACCAACGTGGACCACATAATTACCCTAACATTTAAATAACTTGATATAGAGAGTTCGGGTCGCAGAGACGTCTGTCGGACCCAGAGACCACTGACGTGGTATTGCAGACATCGAACGGGCACCGGCGGCCCCACATTGACAGTTACGGGCCGCCGCTGTGGACAGCGGTCCGTTAGGGTTTATCAACACAGCCGCGGCGCGGGTCTCACAGCTGCGACTCAGCGCGGAGCCGCGGCACTGGGCGCCGGTGATTGCCCGCAGTCACTGTCACAAATATCGCGGACTGTTCGGAACGGCGTCACCGAGCGTTATGAGCACTAATCACACTGTTATCTTCACCGTCCGATTCCGCTGCGCCCGCAGCCGCTCGCCGCCCGGTATCCTGATTTGTTGTTCCGGCGCACACCGGCGCGTCGTTTGGCGCCGGGCGCGGCGGCGCTCTCACAGCCTCGGCAGCGTGCGCGCACGGTGTTTGTACCCACACTAAGGCAGAGGGACCGGCGGCGTCGGCAGACACGGCGCCACCGCAGCCGGCTCGTCCCCGGCACGGCCGGACCGCCTAGTCCCCGGCCGCCGGCTGGATGTCTACGTGGATCTTGAGGCCGCGCTCGCGTCGCGGCGCCGTCGCCGACGATGAGGTGGAGCTGATGGAGGAACTGAGAGCCGAGCGCGCCTGGAGACGGGCCGTCTCGCGCGTGCTGATCTCCCGTCGCTGCTGGTCGCTGAGCTCGGCCAGTGGCTCAGCGTCGTCCTTGTAGTAGAGCACGTGACCGTCCTCGAGGATATTGAGCGGCCATGTGTCCAGCGCTGGGGATAAAGGAGAAGCGTTAATGACACCGGCACGTCTGTCGGTCTATAAGCTAACAATGGTTATTCATGAACTAACCATAAGTCGTAAGTTAAACCAGATACAACACGGGAATCCGGAATATGTAGTAGCAGTCGACATTACCTTGCACATTATGATCAAAGCCTCCGTATGCCGTTATAAAAAAACAAACATTTTATTGGGCATTTCGACGGAATATTTAAACTCCTTCCATGAGCTCATTCTCAGATCCACCTCTCCCACTCTCGCCCTCCCGAACCCCTCCCCGTTCTCACCGGTGACGTTAGCCAGCCAGTCGAGCTCCGTGGGCGCCAGCAGCGCGTTGAAGTCGTTGGGGAAGCTGCCGGGCGGCTTGGCCAGCCGAATGTTGTCGGCCGGCACCCCGGAGTGGCGACTGAGCGCGGCCAGCAGCGCCTCCGGCGTGGCCGTCGGCAGGGTCACCTCGTGCAGGTCGTCCAGCGTGTAGGTGCTCGGGTGGAAGCGGCGGCAGAACAGTGACAGCTGACCGTCGCCCTCCACCTCCTCCGCCGAGGGCAGCTCCTGGTGGGGTCCGCGAGGGGACCAGGTCATAATGAGCTAACGAGGCGCCGACATCAGCTTTCCGTTACGGCACTGAGTCCTCTCAGAAATCAGAAGTATTACATGGAACACCGCCCTGGGAAGACGAAAACCTATCCTTGATTATAATATATTTTAAGAAGTTCATGCGAATTACAAACCGATGTCCTTACCTGGAGGAAGATTTCCCAGTTGGGATAGAGGGGCACTTGATCGTTGAACTTGTATGTGTCCAAGTAGATCTTGCCCGGATTCTTCCAACTCTTCTTCCTTAACCGACACCTGTAAAAAACAAATCATTGTCTTGAGTCACCAGCTACCTAAGCGTTGTTGATCCTCGGTAATGGACGAGTCATCGCCGAGGCATATACCTATCATCATCGATCAAACGTAATCTGCTTAGCAGCTAACATAAAATACAAACAGGAAACCAGAATCAGTCAAAAAGTGCAGATGACGAAATATAACGGCGTCATGTCTTACCTGTTCATGGGAATATCGACGCCGAGTCGTGACTTTTGTTCGGCGAGAATTTCCCGTTTGGCCTGCGCGATTGTCATACCCTTCCGCAGAATCCACTCGAACAGGAACTTACTGGGCTGTGGGGGACACGATAACAACGTGAGACATACATCAATGACAAATTACAGACATTCGATATCGACTTCAACTAGCTTAGCCGCGTATCATTCCCGTAAGAAGCAAATAGAGCTCACCATTTGCTACTGCTGTTTGCTACAAATAGGTAGCGAGCACTATTTGCTCCCGCTGTACCGTTCGTTTACCTCCGTGGCGTTGGGTTCCAGTTTGTAGACTTTGCCGCGCACCTCTCCGTCCCTCAGTCGTCGCGACAGTCGCGCCACAAACGTCACATTGTCGCCGTGCGTCATCAGCTGATCGTCCAGACGCGTGCACTCAAACTCCTGCCGAAGGAAGGTGGATGTCAGTGGCAACTCAGATGGCATGAGGGCAGCCTTTATACAGCAAACAGCGCTTCCCGGCGCTTCCTAAACGGGGATAAAAGAGTCAGACATCGAAAAAAAAATTATCGAAACCCCACAGGAAGCAAGACGGCCGCACTTCTCAATCGAAACAAGGTTGGTATAACTGAAAAGCTAATGATGAACATGTGGGATTTATGACGCCAACTAGACGACAGTGGTCATTGGCTAATGATTGAAAAGCTGTGTTCGAGCCATTATTTAGAGGGAGTTCCGTTCAGGCTGGAGACCGGCACCCACCTGGTTGCTGGTGTAGATTTTGAGTATTTTGAAGTAGTCTCTATGCACGTTGATGAGGGTCTCGATCTCCTGCTTGAAGCCGCCCAGCGTGATACGATTGTCCAGACGGACATCCCATACTGCGCGGAAAGAAAGGCGGGCGTTAATAATGGACGTCAAAAGCGACGGGGACGACACGAAGATGCTCCATACTCATCAGCTACATTACAAATTACAATCAAAAGATTTTTTTATCATTTTTATACTAAACATGATTTTTAACTGCAGTGGTCCTTCATAAATATCGATCAATATTAGCAGTCCTTACAGAAGACCGCGTATTTTTTCGTAACGTGCATCGTAGCTACCGTACCACACATCGCATCCACTAACGTCAAATCTATAAAGTCTTTTCCATAACAATCTCCACCGGCCATCAGCCTGCCCCCACCATCCCAATAATGGTTACCCAACACCTCAGAAACTCACGGAAGCCGTTCTCATGCGGTGCCGACTTCTCGACGACAAAGTAGCGTCTGATGGGTGGCTGGTCAACGGCAGCAGCGGCGGGGGCGGGGGCGTCATCATCGGCAGCGGCGGCGTACGGCGCATCACTGGGGTCGTCATCGCCGCCCTCCACGCCCTTGTAGCCCTGCCGGGGAGGGGCTGCGTGAAGGGCGCTGGCGGGGGAGGGGAGGGAAGGAGCGACCGAATGGACGATGTAGGGTACAATCAGTTAAATAGATGCTGATATTAAGTGGTCTTTTCCCATGTACACCTCGTATGCTCGTATTCTCTATTCCCTCGTGATATTCTCCAATCGCAGGAGTTTCTAAAGTCAAGTGATAAAAGCTGTGAAGGCACGGTCCCCTGTAAGCCATGTTCAATCCCTTCCCCACCCCGCCCGTCAAGAGTCCGTCCCCAGCTCCCCCTCCGCCGCCGTGCACCGACCTCCTCCTGCGGCGACAGCATGCTCTGGTAGTCTGATCCGGCCGGAGAGTTGCTCGGTGTGGCCGGCAGCGACCCGCCGCCGGCGCCGGTCGGCTGCTCCCCGCCGATCAGAGTCCGCTCGCTGTCCGTCACACTGCTGTCCTCTGAGGCACTCTGGTCCGAGCTGCCGCCGCCCAGCAGCTCGTCCCCGCCGGTCGGCTCCGGGCTGACCGGAGGGGAGTCGGCCTGGTCCGGAGGGGCGGCGCCGCCGGAGGGAGCGGCGGCAGCGGCGGCCAGCGCGGCCGAGATGGACATCTGGTCCAGGGACGGGATCGCCAGACGGTCCAGTGTCTCTGTGAGAACAGGAGAGGACGCAGAGACGTGATGGCTGCTGTGGCTAGAACTTCGTCTAAGTTTCATAATCGGCTTACCATGGACACT